ATATATATCGACCAATAGGCGATAACTTATTGCTTGCCATTCACATTGCCGTACCAATGAATCGACACGTGCTCCACTTCACCCAACCTCATTCGTTCACCACATCGCAACCGGTGGAAACCTCCATATCGTCACACTTTTCTGTCTGCTTTGTAGGATATCAATTGCTAGCTTAGCCGAAATAAATTTTCATGTTCGTTTGTTAGCTATTCTATTTTGGGTACTGGACAATCGACGAGTCATTGACTGGGCATAATCAATAGGCTTGTGCAGTAACACAACAAAATCCACGGAACGTTAACCCTCACCCTCAATGGGATTTCAGTATATTAGTGGAATGATAAGATTGCAGGGCACTAACCAAGGTTCCAGGTCGCAGTTCCCGTTATTTGTTCGGGTGTGACATCCGCTTCGGTGAAAATTCAATAATGGACGGACAGCGAATCGAATAAAATCCAACGGGGCTGTATTCACTTTCTCACGGAATCTGGTTTTACTGAATCACTTGGCTAATCTGCTTATGTTATTACTTTTTAGTTCAGCAAAAATATAATACAACACGCTGGAACAACAATGGTTATGTAGCGATGTGTGCAAAGGGACCTGCGTATAAGGCATTTTGCCTAGACTCGATGTTATCCTCAGATCACAACTTATTTCGTTATATCGTTCCAAGTGGACAGTTTTGAAAATAACAGATTGTCTTTGACGTGGAAAGTTTCATGAATAAACTTTTGATCCGGAGATGAACTTTTTGTGAAATAGGGTATGTGGTATCTACGGTTCGATCGGAGATCGATCCGACCAACTTTAATTATTCATGTTACTTTTTCCTGATTTTATGTCTTGAGATTATTACACTTCACGATGTACTCGGTGACGGTGTGAATGTGCATTCATTAGAGCTATTTCTTTTATTTCTCTACGATGGCATGGCTAAGACGAACAAAATATTTTGACGGTATTGTAGCTCAACGCCGAGGTTAAAAGTGTCCGGAAACGCTGCTACCAAATTTATTGTTCCAAGCACTTAACTAAAAGATAATGCTAACTGTTCATCTGAAACCGCTATTACTTGTGAAGTAATTTATATCAAAAGACAGTCCCCAGGAACCACACAGATTGACTCCTTTCAGTTTTAAAAGCAGTAGCCTAATCGTAGTCTTGGAATTGACAAAATAAGTGAAATACTGGTAATCAATTACCGAGAGACCGCGTAAATAGAATGGGAACAAGACCTTTCATTCTTTAATTCGTTTGTGCCAGACAGAAGGCCGAATAAACAAGGTATCGGTCGAAACGTTGGTTGACTCAATTAGATAGTTTTAGGGGATAATTTTGTGCGAAGAAGGTAGTTGGTTATTCAGACTTATTTTCGCAGGGTTCAAGAAACTAACGTTCGGTTAGAATTTGTTTAAAACTGCGGATTCCATTGAAGGTTACAAGATTACTGCCTAATCAGTATACCCAATAGAGTTTACATGGAAATTCGTTACTTTCAAAGCCTATCTGTGGATGTGCGAAAAACGAATTTCAAATAACACATTCTCTTTCTAGTAGCCTGTTAAAATAAACTAATGCACTTTGCCATCGTGGGAATACCATTTTGATCAATCGTTTCACTTCTCAATCAGTGAGATCTGACAGACTTGCATTAGCACGGTTGTATGATCGGAACAGGCAGTCGCAATTCGACACTACATCCCGCTGTTCATCGCCCTCATCACGTATTGTCTCCATCCCCTAATGCTTGTTTTTTTTCCAGATCTATGCGGCGTTGCTATTTTTTGACTTGACCAAACTTATTGATTTTCAATATGCAGTTATTGGCCAGAAGTTTTCCATTCCCTTTAAACTTGTTTTATTCCATATCATATCATTGTAAATTGGAGTGTTGCTCGAAAGTTTGGATTTAGCCGAATGTCACTTTCCACAACAAATAACCATCTGTACCTAGGTCATTCGATTCCATTTGATTTCGCTTCTGAGTGATCCCTTAAAGCATTATTTGTTCTGCTCTCACTCCCTTCCTATCCCGTTAGACTCTTGACGGTGAACTGTATGAAAAATTGAGCGCAGTGTTCAGTGCCTTGGGGCAACAAGAAAGTGAGTTGTGCACTCAAACAAACGAGTGCTTCAACCGGATTTCGAAGGATGCTGTTAAGGTAGGTCACATTCGTTCTAGTTCATTTCCTTGGTGCCTATCGTTGATTCGCTATTAGTTTGAATTTGAATATTGTTTAATCACTGTTTATTTGTGTTTTCGTATTATTCTCCCAATTTTTTCTCAAGAACGGTTTCCCCATAAACGAAATGACAACACTGACAGCTGAGAATTTATATTCCTTCTAACAATACGATCCTCTTCTATGCTCTACAGATTTCTCGGGCATTCGCGTGGGAAGTGTTTCTGAAATCCTGTCCACTTTTTGATAAAACAGTACAGTACCAATTTGAACCAATGGAAGGTGATCAAGTGAGTATAATACATTAATGGTAACCAAATTCAATCTTTTCCTCACTCGCCTCATTTTCAGGCCTGTTTCACTTTGTGATTCCTCTTAGATCACATTCTTGCCTGTGGTAAATTGGCGCTCGTTTAACTCTAAGTATCCAGGTGTTATTCAGTCATCACAACATTCTTTAACGACAAGTTTGTTTAATCAGAATCTCTTGTTGAACAGATGTCCTCACCAGTCACGTAGGATTGTGCTCCGATAGCGAATCCACAGAACACCAAAAATATTCGAATCACGAATTGTTATGAAGTGCCGAATCGGTCTTCTCCTGATTGTCTACCACGGAACACGAATGACACATAAAGGGTCACGTCGTATCCCGCGAAAAATCCATACTGATGCGGCGGTAGTCCAACAACCTTTAGAGACTAGCACGAGATACTCGCGATTTCTACAAATCCGCAACAAGTTTTGGAACCTAATCTCATCTGCGGCAGTAAGATCGCATTGGTTTCACCAGAGCAGTCCTGCACGTCACTCGACTCATTCCAAAATATCTCCAACTATACTTAGAGAGAGAAATAAAATCGTTGTTTTCGATATTTCTCGCTTTTGAAGCATAACATGATTTCATCAGTGACGGTATACAGTTGGTTTCTTTTTTTTCGTTGTCCCGGATATGACGTGTTTTTTTCCCTGCACATCGGCATAGATCAGATGGAATGTCACATCACTGTGTAGCGTTGCTTTTCAGATTATTTAGCTAGAGAATTAACCAACTAGCTAATTTTTATTACATTGCTCGGCCTGTTTTATCCATCAGAACACCCTGCTACGCTCACCGGATGAGAAAGAAGCGAATTTGGAACAGATTGCACGAAAGCTCGCCCGGCGGTTGGTGCTTCGTGAACGACGAATCAAATCTTACGAGACAGAATTAAAAACACTCCAAGCTGGTTGTGTTGCCTTACATCCGAATTTTCGACCCGCTCCAGGCAGTCCTGTATGTGTTGTTACATTTGACTGTTTCATTGTGTTTGGTTTTCCATGGATTATCCACAAAACTACACCACCATTGTCCATTATTGATATCGTCTAGAGTTCCGGTTTGGTATGCTTCAGTTCATGTTCTACACCCAGTTACTTTGAGTTTCTGTCTTTCAGGTTTGGGTGCAGTTGATATCGGTTAGCTTTACGTACAGCTGCTGAGTAGTTGATAGAGAATTTGCGTGAAATGAAAACGAAACATCTTGAATCCACAAAACCATACACGTGAGTGTCCACTGTCGACCGCGCAACTCAGGAATAAAGGTTTGTGCTCTCAACTCGAAGGTTCTCGATTCCAGTCTGTACAGGAATACAAAGATGGTACGCGTTGGTGACGAGCCCTAATAAGGCCGAAACCGCCATGCAGTACCCATTGTTAGCCCTCACACATTATTCAACACGATGCAGAATAACATTATTTTCAACGATACTAGTTTTACTTGAGTATATGCAGCAAACGTATAGTACATAATCAAGAAAGGGTCATGGTCGATTGAAAGCTACCAAACAAGAACTGAAAGAATAGAGCTAGGGTGGTGGGGTTCGATCTCATGAATTGCAAGACGATATATAAGCAGACAGCATACACCGTTCGATCATTTTTTTGGTTCCTTGTCGAACTTGTTCGAAGTAGCTTTCTGAAGTTGGATGTGCACTATTTTCTTACATATCCCAGTATTTGAAGTTGTTGAACATTTCACCATTGGGACAGTGATCTGAAATTTATTACCATATTTCCTTTTTCGTTCACCTTAGCGGTCCTAAATGTTCACGGTCATCTTAGAACATGTTTTGTGTTCGTTCTTCAGTTTTACAAGTATCTGAAATCTTGACTTTCTCTTTTTAGTGTTTATTAGTGGCTCTTACCTGTTTAACTCGGTTTCTTGAGACCGATGACTAAACTGCTACAGTTTCTGGCTTTCATGAAGCGCCGGAAGGCTGCAAAACTTTTCCGAATGTTTTAAACGAAACCGTTCATGCTCAGAACAAAATATGAACAGTCAGAAGAGACAGTGTTATTGTCATTTCCAGTTTCGTCGTCATCAGTGCTCACAAACCGAAAGTTTTCTGCTTCACGAAGTGTCCCGGGGAGAGTATTTGTTTCGGGCACCGCGAAATTTGTTTGCACTAGATACATTTCGTACTTCGAGGTACTAAACTGAAGAATTGTAAAGTATACCCGTTTTTTGTTGCCTCCCATCCCAGAAACCGTTGTAAAAATTCGCCCTGCTTGCTTGATTTCGGTATCAATCGTCCTTCTATCTAAAGGAAACAGAACGGTGCAGATGGATAGTGTTTAGCCGTTTGAGAACACTACCAGCCCACTGTTTCTTTTGCTGAAGCTGTCTTGTCCGGTTATCAGATTGTTGTATTTCGTAGCGATTGAGGAGATCAAATAAGATCACAATGTTTGTCCTCTCCTTATCCTGACGAATAGTGGCAAGATAACCCAGTTTTTCAAACAAGAATAATCATAGCATTTTTGAAATTCAGCTGTCTCGTTTTTATTTTCTCATCTGTACACAAGCTTGTAAACGTCCGATTAGAGAAATGAAAAATCTTTTGATATCAGAAAAGTCTATTGGAATAATTGTTAGTGAAAATGATGTGTGTAATAAAGCGCGAAGGGGGGGGGGGTATCATAGTTAAATTGCTATGTACCGCCATGTTTCTTTTTCTGTATGAAGAAATAATTTTTATTAACGGAGGAAGTTAGTGTAAAAGCCGTTTGATCCTTTCTAGGATCCATCAGTGCCATATCTTTCGTTGAGACTCAACCCGGTAAGCATGGTGTTCGATTTACCGACATAATGGTGGCCACCGAATCTGAGTGAATATCACTGCACGTTCGAAGCACTCTTCCTACCGCCCAGCATTAGTGAATAACATGTATCCGAAAAATCATTGGTTGATGTTCTTTACAATGGTGGAATTGGTATCCTTATGTAAGTTCTACTTTGACTTGGTCTTCGGGCTTTTCATTACTGGAATATTTTGAACACCTCTATCTTAACGTGGCTCAAACTGTGCTAGTCAACTGAGAGCCGGTTTTGTTCAACAAACGAAATTGTCTTTGTATAAGCACATTCATTAGTTCTGCTGGTCGATCATACAGAATAAAACAAGAGAAAGTTCATTTCACGTGGTGACATGTAATGGTGTTTCCAATGCGTTTTATTAAATAGATGATTGTGCCAATCATTTTCAAGAAACAGGAATGCTACAATCATGGAAATGCACGGGGCTAAAAATCAATGGTGGCCATTATATAAAATTTAAATTCCCAGCCACCTGTATTGATGGAGTGATGATTTTGTACACTCTGCAATTGGTGCTAAATTCAATTGTTTGTGATCTAAGTAATTGGACCCCGCAAAACGCGTGACAACATTGGGTCTCAAATAGACCAACCACCATTTACCTTGTTTGACGGGAACAACATGACCGATAAGCGTTACAAAACGCTTGTTCCTGAGTGTATATTTGCTAAAAGAACGTTAACAAAAGCTGATTGTAGAGAGAGAACAGATGTTGCAGAGTGTGCCCACAAAGTGACGCACATACTTGAACTGCATTCAGTGTGTGACAAAAAAACATGTCCTCTAATCAGGTCCATCTCTTTTTGAAAATTTTCAATAGCTTAGCATCAGATGAATGTGAAATCGATTAAGTTAAGTGCCACACGTTCCCATGTGAAGGAGTCGTCAATAGTGTCCGCGTTTTTCCCGCTCGTATTCTGTAGGATATGGAGAATAATGAAGACCTACTGGCTTTCAACCAGGAATATGTTGAGCACAAAGTTGAAGAGGTCCAATTCGCAATCAGGCGAGAAGAGGTAAGCGCTTTGCGCAGTTCATTTATTTCCAAGTGTTCCATTTCACCCGACTTCACGAATACCACGGTCATTGGCATCGCTCAAGTAGTCCAGCAAATAATGCGCTTAGTTTATACTAATTCACTATATCCTTGTGATATGGTATTTCGTTGCAAATAAATTTGCTGAATATTTTGAAATTTAGCTATCCAGAATTATCCTCCTGAATATTTTCGCTACCGAATCCTAATTTTTGTTTCTCTAAATTTATATCTCATTAATTTCGCAAGTGGGTGCAGTATAAATAAGTATAACATGTGAAACTTTGTCTACCTGTTAGAAAGGCTCACCTGCTTCGTGCCTTTCTCTGGTCGTAAATCCTACCCCAATACTTTGTGGTGGATGATCGTAGATTATGACTATCTATAATTGGTACCATTGTCTTAAAACTACAAGTCTTTCTAAAGTGGAGAAATTATCGCATTGTCGGACTGCACTGACGGACCTTGATTCCTGTTTGTTTTCTTCTCAAAACAACGAACATTTGTAGTCCAAAATTATCAAGACTACTGCTGGCTAGTCATAATCGCTTCGAAATATGACAGTTGTCATACAACTAGCATTGACTAGTCTGCTGTTGGCGCAACATGATAGCTTTCGGCTAACGATAATAACGACCAACTTGATTCGCATTAGATCTACTTCCAAGTGCTTTTGCATTGCATAAGAAACAAAAAAAATACAAGAGTGTACTGTCCGGTGCTCTCTTCTCATTACACATAGCTGCTTGGATGTGAGTGCATGCATTGCATTGAGTCATTCAGCTCGTTTCAGCAGAACACGCGTGGCCTTCGGCCCCGTAGACATAATGGCATGATATTTGCACCCATTGATTCGCTGCTTAAAGGAACTTAGGGGTGGACTCCGAAGGATCTTTGTCATTATCGTTTGAGTTTTCTTCTAGGTGATGGGTTTATGCATCACACAAAAGATACTATGAGTAGAGGATAGGATTTTCAGAAGTGGTGTTATCTCTGGTCCTGGAACCTGTCATGTTCCTTTTTTGGTTCACACTAGTCTCAAAAATCCTCAAATTTGGTTCCCCAAAGTTTTCTGCATGTGACAACCTTCAAATCTCAGAAAGGTGGCCTAAATCCGAGCGTACAGTACATTGTAGGTTTTCGTATAACAATTTTAAATAACACCCTCTAAGAAAAAAACCCCACGTCACTTGTACCAAATTCATATGGAACTCCGTGAATTCTCGGGTTCTTGAAACCTGCTCGCTCTCCAGGAGAAAATAACCGAAGTAAGGTAATTCGTCGTAGCGACTAGCTCGAGTCCATGTGTTTAGTATAGTGATCGTTACATTTAAAAGTTCCTAAGTAGCCACTGATTTTCGGTTTTACTCCCACTAGGGTCCCGATTTTCACCCTATCCTCCGCTCATTTATTAGATCTTGTCCTTGACTAATAGTTGAGCGTGGAGAGCTAAATGGAACTTGCAGGTAAGATGAGCGTCGACTGTAAGCGCAAGATTGCAGTTCATTTCGGCAACTGCTGTATGACACTGAAAGGCTTGACACATTTCTCTCGGTTATTCCTCTCAATAGAAGATGCACTGACGTCCAAATATTTTCCCAGCTAAATGGATGATGTCCGTAATTAGATCAGGGCCTAATTAGAATTCTAGAAATCTATGTTGTTATTACTAGTTCAAAGATTGCACTCAGATTTTTTTCAAAATAGTCGTTTATCAACCAATGCCTGAAATCCCGAAGTGCCTCTGTGACACTGTCTTGCCAATTATCAGACCACTGTTCAATTGTCACAATCTTAGGCATGCACTTTTTACCAAGCTTCCTCCCCCCAGCCAATCGCACAAGATTTTCTTGGGTATCGATTCTCGTGTAATTTTTTAAATTTGTGCACCAAAAATTTATTTAAGAGAATTTCCTCTTGTACGGGGCAAACGAAGCGTAAACTGAGAAGCTAGAAAGCCGGTGAGCAGTAAGTAAATAAATAAATATATCGCATTCAACTCAGTTACTCGTGAATAGTCGTGTGCGAGTATATGTATATATGTATTAGCAGTTGATCGAATATTGGATTCCAATTATTTGAAAATGTAAGCGAATTCTGTTTCAGATTTCATGATTTAGTGCGATCAACACTTGTAAGGATCGATAACACATTCACGTTGATTTACTGCTTATTTATATGATTTGATAGTATTAG